CAACAAGACATTGGCCTGACTGCTTCGTATGGTGTTACCCTTTGTTTTATTTTTCGCGAAATACTTCGACAGCTCAAAACAGCGAAATCAGATGTTTCCACAGCACACACCACAGAGTACAAGAAGTAAATACGCCATGCTTGAAATGCATGAACAACCAGGTCTTGGCATAAGAAAATAAATCAGTTTTTGTTTCTGTATTTGACTGTAGGACGAAACGGCGCCTAGACAACACGTCACAGGCAGTTCCAATTCATATCTTTTACAATAGATCGTTTTCGTTCATGCGTCGCATATATGTCCAGACAATTTAATCGAGTGTATGTGTGTATTTATATTCTATTTTTGGATTCTTATTTATAATAAATACAACGCTGCAGATTGGTCGTTAAAATTGAGTCTACGGTAAAATTGTTTGACAGAACGTTCTTCTCCCCCTCACCGCTCATTTGATTTTGACTGTAAAGTCAAACCCGACGTTCACCCACCAGATCACAAGAACTCAAATCTCACACGAGATACAAGCCGGTACCACCCGTGTACATACGGGCTAGGCTTCACGAAAGACAAGACTGTACATTTTGATTTTCCACACGAGTGTCGTAAACAGGTTACAAGATAAGCCCGTGATGTCGCGGCGACTTTTCTTTACTAATGATTTTGATATTTTATACGGGAATTTCCGTGCAATAACCTGTACTTATAATATACAGTAAACTTTTTCATTGTCGCCTCTACCAATTAGTCAATATTATATGGAAATTTGAGGGCAATAGTAAATACACGTTCTGTTTACCGATTTGTGACGGAAATATGAAAACCGAAGTCATTGACTTCGTGTTTTCACACTTGTTATATTAGCAGTCTGGAGGAGTAGTATGTATACAGAATGTGCATAGGAAGTTTCGTTCTCAGGTTTACTGTATACGAGATCAGTACCGTCAATAGACCGACGCAACGGAAACAGGCAAATAAACTTGAGTCGGCGTATTTTCTTCGCGACCGTTTAGCAACACTCTGGCCGTGTGTATCCGGTGGAATGCCACCTTTTCTTGTTGGCCATCATTAACTTGAATTAGTTCCGCGTCATATTTTTCCGACGATGTATAAATTACCGAGCGCGCGATGTTTCAAATCATGGCTCATGAAGACTGCTCTGTATTTGTTTGAAATTCAATTGCTATGTTATATTTAAACAAGCAAATTGTAATCCGTTCTTAGAATGTTTATATCAGTTGTTGTTTTGTGGGATTAGCGGTACATGGGGGGGGGGAGGGGAGATAAGCATTCATTTACTCAGTGGACAGAGGAGGAGTTAATTACCCATGAGCACTTGGTGCAATCAAGGGATTGAGCG